TTGACTGCCATGGCTATATAGGATGCATGACAGCACATTCAGTAACTGGAACTCCACAAAGTTATTAGGGATTTCAGACTTAACATGCAATATTCATACTCCCAAAAAGAGAGTAGCTCCCTCTTGTATAGAAAATGAAGGAAACAAGGTCTGCTGCATTAGTCTAACCGCGCAATTCCAGAACCATGCAACTTCAAAAGAGACCGTCATGTTTTATCGTGCTTTGCAGAGAAGGAAAGATATTGCCTTTTGGGTAATATGAAAGAGTCTGGGGATTACATTCTTGGTATGTTTGCAGTGGGAAACTACATTTGGGATTTGATTTAAAACAACCTTTGAGAATTTTTAAAGACTAAATTTGCATATTGGTATCCATTTATCACTAAATACAAAACCAGTTGTAAGCTGCCAAAGAAACTTAAAAAGATAAGAGTAAAATTAAGAAAAATAACCCATGTGTAAGTTCGTACAACTAGAATGCTCTGTTATCTACAGGTTGCTTTTGTTGCATTAGAGAAAAAGACAGTATTGTTACTCATTCATTTTTCTACATAAAACCTTTTTCTGTTGCTTTTGTTCTTTATCTTTTGTGTTACCATACGTAAGTATAGAAAGAAGAATGATATATACTCACAGGAATAGCATGTCTACCCCTTGCTGTTACTAACTCTGAACTTTTCAGCTCCATGATTGATTACATGACTGCAGTAATGTGAAATTAAAAAAGAAGGCTTTTCACGTATAGTTAGATTCATAACATTGTGCTGCGATCTGTCAATATGCCGATGATGGTAATTATTATTAATTGCCACAAAGCATGCTCAAATTAATTGGTGCTCTTATTGAGCAAATGGTCGGTGTATGTTACGGACATATCTTTCACTTTCTACAAGACAAATCACTGAAAGTTGTGTTTCAAGTACAACTCACACACTGTTACTTCTCATAAGAATGTTCACTATGTTGCATATGCGAAAAGAAATAGCTGCCCATTGTCAGCGTTACCACATTATTACGGTATGTTCTACTACTCAGCTTTTTTATCCATAATTTCAAGACCTTATCTGACATCTAGTTTGAGATAACTTACCTGATTCAGTCAAATTTGTTTCATCAGAAAGCATTGGCAGCATACATAATTGAAAGAAATAAGTTTATCATTTTCCTACCTTGATATGTTGACACGAAGAAATGATTAAGTGATTTTTTAAGCAGTATTTTCAAACTGTGTACTTACACTGTGTTGTATGAGGTAACCTTAGTTGATGAATTGGTAGCACAAGTGCAATGAGTCGATTGCAATGCTGAAAAAGGCACACGCAGATCATATTCTCATACTGCAGTAGAACTAACAAAACACTGCATGTCTCTTTAATTTTTGATATTATTTGTCTAAAATTTAGACTTTTTATTTATTTTACATTTTTATCAATAGTGTAACTCTGTGGGATATCAGGTGTGGTGTCTGTTGAGTTAGCAACAAAACCACACATTATTGTAGAAGGTTTTTGTGGGAGGAGGATGGGATGGATGCCAAATACATTCTTCATAAAGACAGATGCTGGTAAAATCTGCTTCAACTCATTTTCTCTATGTGTGATTGCATCCAGACCATTTATCAGGTCTTTTTATTTGTTCTTCAGCATAAATCCACTTAATTAAGAAATGAAAAGTCCACTTTGTATGAATTGAATTAAATATCCAATTTTACAACATCGTTGCTATAATGAGGGGGACTTGGTCTAAAGTGAGTGTCATTGACATCTGATCATGTGCCAGTTGCATGATCTGGAATACGTATTGCTGAAGTACCAGTAATGTTTTTGAGCCATGCAGTGGTTATGTGAGTGTGACCAGTTGGCATGCAATAATCAAATGACATCTTGGCATTCAAGGTAAATGTGACTGCCCAAATGAGGAAATATAAATTTATTTACTTCTTTTTCCGTACAAGTTCGAATGCAGGGATCACTCGGTGCAGTAGATACAGCCGTTTGGAGTCATGTACTCGCAGAAAGTGCGTCATTTGTGGACAGTGAAATTATTTTGTCTTGGGGGCCTATTGTCTATAATGAATTTGGGCTGTGTACAAGAAAATTGTTCACAGAAATGTCCAACTGCCTCAGGTACCAAGAACTTTGATTAATCTGAGGAGTGGGAGAGACTTTCTGGAAAGATCCACAGAAAATATAGATATGTAATTAACCTAAAATGATGCACATAATCAATTCAGATTTGTGTCTTCTTTGAAATAGAAATGTTGATAAAGTGCACAATATTTCACCTACAGGCAATGTAATGTGGTTAACAAGTACATTCATCTTAAAGTAGTTGTGAAATATTTAACTTTGTTATCTAATGCATATGTAAAAGGTACTAATAAATTTTGTATTTATTTATTTATTTTTATTCATTTATTTATTTTTTAATGGGTAAAGTAGGGACAATTTTAAGGGAACTAAAAACTACCCAGAGGATTAAATCATTTGTAAGTTTGGGAATAAGGAACTGGAATTGGGGGGGGGGGGGTTACACTCCTGTTAATGTATACCTACGTTGTACATCCGCTTGCACAGTCATTTTTAATCAGAGGTTCTATACAATCTGAACAATCTGAGCTTTACAGTTTTGTATTTCAGGTCGAGGTAGGAAATTATCCAGTTATATTACTGTTAAAAGTCAATGCCCAGTGTTCCTCCTTGGTGCATTAATAAAACTGTCTTATCAAACCTCTCTGGAGAGACAGAACTGACAGAGGCAAAGCAGAGATGTACAAACTCTGTAGATATGAACTGTATTGTATGGATTGTTTCTAGTCAAGTTTGCCGCAGATATGGTACAACAAGTCAAGTGTTATGTTAATCCTTGGTTGAGAGATTTCATTTAGTTTTGAGCATTTTGTTTTCATTTGTGGGCGTGTACATGTGCTCCTGCCGATGTGTGTTTGTTAACTAAAAAAAGTGCTATCTCTTATTGCTGACCCTTCATTTATTCACATTAGAGTTCTTTTTCCAAAAGAAACTTCCAGATTCTGTTATTTTTATACGGAAACTCCAAGATAACATGCCGACCAACCCAGTGGGCTCTGCTTAATTTAAGTGTGATGCAGGGTTTCTGCATGTTTGGTTTGGTTTTCTCTTGTTGCTGCTAAACATCTAACGATTTCATGAACATCTTTGAGTCTGGTCAAAGAGAGATTTCAGCAACATTTGGCAGAAGTAATGTCAGGGGAGCCTGTTTCTGGAAATTTTCCGAGATGTTTACAATAAATATAGGTAATCAGTATATGGAAGGTTTTTTTTTCTAAAAAATGTTTTTAGAAAGAAACAGATAAATTTTAAAAAATTAAGTCAGTTGTGCTAGTTTAAAGGTATGCCTTTCTGAACTTTTTCTGCTCCAGTGATTCAAGATATGGCAGTAAATTTGAGTAGATACCTAGAGTGTGGCATTTCCCGAAGTGTTTTCTTTCCTGGATCTGTAAGTTAAGCAAAAAGATGAGGACAAATGCTGCACTGTTCCGATTACTAGGAATTTTTACACTTGAGACTGCCATGATTGTTTTCAGAAAAAAATCATTTGTTAACAAAAAAAGTCTTGTCCCAGGTGAAGGATTTACTATAATTTCAATTAGAGATAACATGTCTGAGTTTCTCATTATATATAAGGTGGAACAGAGAAGTATTTTTAGAATAATGTATGGATTATGCACTCATAAATGGCAGTTTGGAATCTGATTCAAAAATAATGACAGAGAAGTGTGTCTGGCATATGTTTAATACATTCCTTCCTCAAACTTTCTTTTCATTGGCAAAAAGGATAAATGGAATTGAGAATATTACATCTTCCACATTCAGGAAAATAAATACTTGAAACCAAAGTTAAATAAATAACACCATAATACCATCAGTTGCTATTATTCAACTAAACATTTGTGATTATTTAAAGACCTGCTGCAAGGTGTTAATGGAAAGTAACAGTGATGTAACTATAACAGCAGGTAAAACATGCTGTTCTTGAAGCCTTTCCAATATTTCATCATCTCATTCATATTTTTAGCAGAGGGCTTCCTATATATCAATAGTATAAGACTTGATAAATGTATATGTTTGATGTATAAATATCAGTGAATTTTTTAAAAAAATATATGCAATAATTTAGAAATTATGGTTTGATTATGCTTACATCTTTACAGTTAATATTTAGATTAAAGCATTATCTTTTTTCATTGAAACTTTGCATTATTTGTTTTTTCCCATTGATTGTGCCCCTCCCCCTTCTACCTTTTTCTGTTGAAAGGCACTAGTTCAAGATTGGCATGTGTTATATTAGAACAGAATTCTGGAAGAGAAGGAGGTATCTGAATGTAAATGTTAATGTGCTTGTGTATCAGTTTGTCATGGTTTCTTAAAGATACATATGAAGCTAGAATAAATGCCCTGTAACATATATAAATTATTAGTACTAGTTCCTTACATTTACACAAATAAAATCTTCATGCCAAAAAAACAACCAAAATTAATCTTTCAAGCAGCAGAAAAAGAAGACTTTCGAACTGCACTTTCTGCAAATATCTTGATATATATTGACCCACGTATTACCCCCAATCTGTAAAGCACATAAAGTAAGCAGAAAATATTGGAACAAATGCAATTTTTTATGAAACAATGTGTTTGTATCCTACAATTAAAAACTTTTTGGTGGTGTTAAAATGGGTTAAGCACCAATAATTTGACAGAGGTACTCACTCTATATACATGTTTAATATGTTCCTAATTCAGATAGATAAGTATAAAGTACACCTGCAACTGGGTATACATGAATTATATATGTCATTTAAGTTGTTTCTGTTGATGTACAAATATATCATATATGTAAACTGTCAAATGTTACATATCGATTATTATATAAAGTAACCATTTTATCTGACAGCAAATGACCAAAAACATTTGCCATTTAGCATAAAGTACAGTTTGAAAAAAAAAAACAAAGTTCTATCCTACCTGCAGTGAACTTTTTCTGAGCTGCTTTTATAAAGAAAAGTCCTCAGTTTTGTTTCAACAGTTTTGCTACTGAAAGCCTGTTTCTGTGTGTGTATTGAATATCGCCTTTACTACTAAACTTCTGTTCAGTTGTTTCCTGATGTCTCCCTGTCTTTGTAGCGTAATGGAATCATTGATCAGGAACTGTCTTGGGAAAACTATCCAGCTGCTTTAATTGAATGCGACTTCTCCAATGTGAAGATGTATAGTTAAGTCAGAAATACTTTTCTTCGAGCCAGCATGTTGTTCCTATGAGCTTATTGTCATCTATCAAGTTTTTACTACAGAACATGCAAGCTTATATATATATATATACCCTGTGCCTTGCTTCAGGAGGCTTACAAGTATTTGGTTTGAAACCAAGCTTTTTGTAAGCAGTTCTCCTTCAAATCTATTGGATGACATCACAGTGAACCTCAACCAATCACTTTGCTCTGCTTGTCTAAGATTGTGTTAAGTAGTGTCCAGAACCGATAACTTGAAAAGAAATATTTTCATTCTCATGGAATAACACACCTGCATGTAATATTTCAAGGCAAACATATCAGACATTAATTATTTACACTTACGAAAGTAACACTGTGGTAATTTGACTGCCAGTTTATCTGATCTCATTAAGGTAAAAAGGCCAAAAAAAAAAGATAAATGTATTAACACTCTTTATATACAGTTGAGTGAACATTGTGTTTTAGGTGTTGGTTATTGATGCCACAAGCATTTATGTGAATTAGAAGCATTTTGTGCAGTGAAGTGTCTCTTTTGGGAGAGCTGCAGTTCTGTATTAATGACTTCCCACTGCTCTCTGCTGTCCCTACCTAGGGTTACTGTGAACACTGACTATACTCAACAGGGGCTCCTGTTATTTTTGTATGTTTGGCCCCTATTAATTCCAAACTGGCATTGTTATGGTTCCTGGCAGTGTTCCAGGGCAAGTAAGACTAGGTGAAAGTGTTAAAGAATAAGTTGTAGAAACATAATAAAAAAGCTTCATTAGATACAGTAGAAAAACATGTTCACACTTTCTGCAGGAATCCTATCTTTTACCAGCTGTATGGCCTCGGCTTCCTTGAAATGGTTTTGAAAACATTTATGTTTCTAGGAATTAAATAGCTCAAACAATATATGGGAATTCAAATTTACGTTTTCACTCTTACAGTCACTTTTGGCAGATAAAGAAAACAAAGAAATAAAAGATGACATTTAAAGGAGTTAGGATAATAACCACAAAAGCATTTTTTTAAAACAAGATTGAAAATGTTAGAGTAATATGCATTTTCTAGAAGCTTTAACACGCTTTTTACAAAAAAATACTACTTGGCAAATTGCAAGCGGCCAGTATGTTACACCTTAATTTATTTATCCTTATTTTAAGAAAGATCTTATCTTTGTCGATGAAGGCAATGGAAATACACCCTCATGTCATGCCTGATTTACTACTGCCCACACACATACAAAATTACTTTTAGTTCCACTGCAACATCTCCTATTTTCATACACACACTTTACTTCATATCTGTTTCAAATGAGATATCTGGAGTTCCAGGTTTCATGTTATCTGAGCCACTCATAAGTATGAACTACTGCTGCTACAGCACACCTTTCCCTCTGTTAAGACACATAAAGGAACTTTATTGAAATCAATCACTTGACAAGCAACAACTTGGTGATGATTTCCTTACTGCTTTATTGGAGTTTTATGATATCTGGCCTGCTTAACAAATCCATAACAGTGTTCAGGGAAACTGTTATCGAAATGACATTTTGAGGACGTTCACCACTTTTCTCGAAAAGCTAAAAAACCTGTTCATATATATGATAATGTATTTTTTATTTTTACCTTTGAATTTACAATAAAAATCCTAGACAGGTGAATTGGGTATACATAGATGTATTAAATGATTTCATTGAGATATTGTTTCTTTTGTTTGCGTAAGTTCATTTCACAAAAATACACTCATCTGAATCTAATCAAGAGGGAGACAATTATCTCTATTTTTTTGCTTTAATTTTCATTATGAAACCTTGATTGTAAAGGCAGACTTGGCAAAAGGAGATGAATTTTTTATCAACCATTGAGGTTGTCATTGATGTTCTGCAGTAGATGGTAAAATGTTTCAACTTCTGCCCTTGTGTTTTTTCTTTGTCTAGGCTGATGGATGGCCTTGAGAAAAGACATGAATAGACCTTCCAGGTGTTTCCAAGGCATATATTCATGTAAAGTTTCACACAATAAGACAGACGTCAATGCAACATGTTATGCTTAGAAAACAGTTTTAAATTGTGCCAAATAATACACATGGCACAGCCCATTAATATTACAGTCACTGTGAATCTCTTTTCAACTCTTCTACCTGCATAACATGCCTCACAGATACTAACATGTATATACAAGGTAAATGTTTCACACTCAGCCTATTTAGTAACCACCATAAGGAATGTTTTTATGATCTCTATCTGGAGAGTATAATTTTTATTTCCTGTTTTTGCCTTCTAAGTTGGTTTTCTTCTTTCTACACAGCCTTGAGAATGAAAACACTTTTTTCCTATAGCACATTTCAGACCAAGAGACAAACAAGGACAAATTGCAACATGGATTATTAATATATTAATTAAAGAAGGATCAGTCCAGATCATATGGGATAATAGAAGCTTAATGAAGAGTATATCCCTGCAGCACCTTGTCTTAATTCATTTTTCCAAGTAGAGTTTCTTATCACTGTTGGAGCTGGAAGATTGTCCATAATTACCTTTGTTTAACATGGCTCACAATGTTTTCAGTGGCATGATAAACATCCCAGAGGGATCTCGTCTTCTTACGTGTTTCATGACATGATATAATTGCTTCAAATTTTCAAATGCCTGTCTCAGATATTTTAGTTTTTCAAGATTTATCATGGTCGGACACTGACTTTTGTATTATGTGACATACACAAAGCCAACAGACTTTTCAGAAGTTTTCATATAATATTTTTAAGCATAACTAAGATCGCATTCACAACGAGTTGAGCCATGGCTTTACAAATCCTGGAACTAAATATGGTGGATGTACATGAAAGAAAACCGCCTAATCTTTTAATAGTCTCTCTGCCCCTCACATGCCTCCCCATGTGGGGTCCCAATGGAGCCGAGATTTGATGACCGTACCCTCGCAGGGACGACGCATGGGGAGGCGTGTGAGAGGCGGAGAGACTATTAAAAGATTAGGCGGTTTTTCTTTCATGTACGTCCGCCATATTTAGTTCCAGGATTTGTAAAGCAATGGCTCAACTTGTTGTGAATGCGATCTTACAAAAAAATCTCCTTTGGGGGACAGGGGGTTAGAAATGATTAACTCATGTTGTACTTTATTGAGTGATTGCAGTATAAGCATTCAACACATACTAACACCTCCCTTAATTCCTCTTCAGAAACAGGAGGTGCTAATGTATCTAGCAATACTCATATATACTTGACACCTACACTCTATCACAATAGATATGGTTGATTATCTGAATAGTTTCAAACAGGAATGGGTTTGCGGTGGTGATATACTGTTACAAGATTGCTTTTGCACAGTTTGCAAATATGAGTATTCTTTATGTCAGAATTATGAATTGCTGTCAAGTTTTTTATGAAGTTAGAATATTGAGAGATGACTTAAACTATATCACACAGCAAGAAATAGGAAGAAATATTAATAAATCAGTTGAAATATTTATTAGTTATCAAATTGAAATTAACAAGAAAGCAATGGACAGATATTTCAATAGGTTTTATTTTGTTTTACATATTATTTTAGAATTAAGTTGCAGTTATTTCTTTGGTTAACTGCATAGCATAATTTTGAAGTTCAGTCATATATATTATGTGGGTTTTTGTTGTTACAGATTGTGTAAAGGCAAGTCATGTATCTTTCAAGCAGATTTACTTGTCTCTAGTTACTAGGCTTATCAGCAAATATCTTTATTATAAGTGAAAAAATAAATTCAGTTCCTACTTTCTGTAAAAAAAAAGGAAAAATAGAAAACTAGTATTATATTAGGAAATCAGCATGTGGTATGGATGAAATTGAAAGAATGAATGAAGTGGAACAATTAGATACCATACTTGGTAGATTCCATGTGAAATAACCATCTGTCATTCTTTGCCTGTTGCAGCTTATAATACATTAACATTGGATTTTGATATTTGTGTTTATTTATTCATGTGTGTCCCTTTCACCTCAGTTCACCAACCAAGAGCATGGTCTTAGATAATCAGATTTTAGCCAAAAACATTGGTTGATCTAATCAACATAACAGACTAACAAGGCAGTGGTGCCAATTGATTCTGAACACATATTTTGTCAGGCAAATGCAGCATTTCAACAGAAGAAAAGATGGAGTAAGGTTTTCCACATGTGGTTGTATTTAATCCAAAATGTTGTTAAGATGATTTCTGAGTAATGTATTAAAAAGAAATCAGGAAAGATTGGCCATGACATATGTGTGTTGGAAAATAATATTCCTAATGGTAATGTGAATTTTTATTTAAAAAAAAAGATTTTGTTTCTTAGAACGAAAATAATGGAATATGGCAGATGTTTTAATGATATTACATCAATGTCCTTCAGTTTATTAAAAAAATATAGCTTTCATTAAATTTATAGTGATATATAAATGTTCTTTAAATTTTTTTCAACATTCCATTTTAACAAGTCATCTGATTGTTGTCTCTCTACAGCTACACTACACCACAGCCATACATAGCTTATCTTCCTGTCCATTTGCTGCAATTTGACTACCATGTGCTTTGGCTCCAAAAGACTTGTTTTGTCCAGGTGCATTCTTGATACCGATGCATCCTGCAGGGCATGGTTTAAAATTTGTGCATGTGCTATATCTATGGTGGTCTTGAATGACATATCATCTCTCAGTGGGACGTAGTTTTTATTCACACAAATTGGGTGTGGTCTCTTCGGGATTCGTTGTGATTCATTGCGTTTGATAAAAGGGTTGGTTTCCCTATTTAATCCTATGGTCATGCTCTACTAAAACTGAAGGATACAGAACTACATGAATATCTCCTCTACCAGAGTCCACAGAATGAAAACTGTTTTGTCTGCTTGTAAGAAAAAAAAGCTTTACCATGCTCATCAGGGTATTTTCCAGTCAGCCTCTTCCTTCTATACATCGTTCAGACAGAGCAACCATCCAAACATCATTAACCAGCCTGCTATCCTATCTTTGAAGTTATCTTTCAAATCAAATTCATAAAGTCTATCAGGCTCCAGTGATTTAAAGCTGAGACTGTAAGATAACTGGCTAATGTAATTGTTTTTAGTTTCTACTCTTATGATTGAAGACTTTTTGATATAATATGCATTATTTTACGAGGAATGTATGACTTGTTTCTTCTTTCAATGATTTTCTTATAGTTGCTTTAATTGTGCAGTCAGTCAGCAAGTTGAATGGAAAAGAAATGTAGTGAGACCTATTCCCAAGGTGCATGCTGCCACTCCAGTGGGAACTGACCACACAAGTTC